TCCCCTATGCAGTCCAGGGGGTGTGTCAAACATGTGTAGACTGTATAGGGTCACCTTCTAGAGAGTACAACATTTAGGTATATGTTTGTGTACTCTCACTCTCACATTATTCAATTCTAGGTTTGATAGCAACTAGTGACAACCATAGTGGTAGTATAGTCCTCTTGGTGCTTAGATAATATTTTTTCAGGGAAAACACAACAAAGCATGGACGGCATGGCAGGCAAGGTAAGTTTGTCAACTTATACATATATTTGCATGTAGAAGTTATAGGCTAGAATATGTATGTGTTCTTAGAGAGTACAACCCAAACCCTATATGTCACTTGTTCTCTCTCCTTGCTAATCTATTCTAGTATTCTAACATGGTATCATGAGTAGGTTAGGTCCACCCACCCACTTCCGCCCCACGCCCTAGCCTACCGCGCCTCGCCGGCCCCTCGCACGTCCGCAAGCCCCTCTCTCGCCTAGTCGGCCCCTCGCGCCCAGCCGGCCCTTCGCGTCCAGCCGGCCCCTCTCGCGCTGTAGCCGGCCCCTCGCGCCATAGCCGGCCCCCCTTTGCGCCGTAGCCGGCCCCTCTCGCACCAGCCGGCCCCTCCCGCGCCTAGTCGGCCCCTCGCGCCCAGCCGGCCCTTCGCGCCCAGCCGGCCCCCTCTCACGCCGCCGCTGGCCCCTCGCGCCGTAGCCGGCCCCTCATGCCTAGCCGGCCCCTTCGCGCTGTAGCCGGCCCCTCGCGCAATAGCCGGCCCCACTCGCGCCCAGCCAGCCCCCTCTCGCGCCGTAGCCGGCCCCTCGCGCCTAGCCGGCCCGTTGCGCTTTGCCGGCCCCACTCGCCTCGTCGGCCCCTCTCACCTAGCCGGCCCCTATCGCCTAGCCGGCCCCTCCTGCGCACCGGCGGCCTCACACGCCTTGCCGGCGCCTCTCTACGCACCCCCCCTTCCCCCCCCGCACCTGCCCGGCCTTTCGCGCGCCTGGCCGGCCCCTCGTGCGCCTCGGCCCCTTGAGCGTCCGCTGACTCCTGACGCGCCCACCGACCCTCCAGCGCCCCTCTCGGCTTTCCGCCCGGTCTCCGTTCCGGAGAGTCCTACCCCCACGCCGCTACACCGCCGTGCACCTGAGTACCCGTGTCCCTGTGCCGCTGTGTTCCGGTGCTGCTGAGATTGCGTTATGGTCGACGCCATGCTACGCCTGGACACGGAGGGGCACGCGATCGACTTCGCCACTCGCACGCCGCTCGCTGCCCCTGCCTCTGTCGCCCTTGCTGATCCCTCTTCTGGTCCTGTAGTTGCTCGCAGCTCCACTACCCTTCCGTGTCCAATGCCCCCCTCGGGTTCCCTTACAGACCTGCACATCTCCTCGTTCTCCAGGAACCAAGTTGGTGTCGGCTGTCTTCAGGACCTCCGCGTCACCACTACGTTCTCTGGTCACGAGCGGTACTCGGTCTGTACCGAGGTCGCTGCGGCCTGCTCGTGTCGGTCGCTCACTTACCCATCGCTTCTGTAGCACCACCGCCTAGGTCACCCTGCACTCACGCGTCTGCGTCGCATATCTCAGCACGGTCTAGTCCTCAGTCTCCATGAGTCGCTTCCTGCCTTCCCTCTCTCACCTGCGCCACTATGCACACCCTGCGTCGAGGGACGGCTGCCCCGTGCTCCTCACTCCTCCTCGCTCCGCGCTCCCAGCAGCCGCAGGTTTCGCCGACCGTTCTTAAGACCGGGTTCCCTGGAAACGCATCCACGTTTCACGTCTAGGGATGCCTTTCTCTGGCACGGACAAGCTCACTGCCCGCACTGTCCCCTGTGTCTTCCTCGGTTTCTCCCTTGACTCATACGACTGTCACTTCTACCACCTACTGTCTCACCGCTTCTTTCACTCTCGTAACGCCACTTGCCACGAGTCTGTCTCTTTTTACCACCGCTTTTCCCACCGAGGTCTCCCGGTTTCCCTGCCCTTGTTTCTGGTTCCCACCCCCCCAATAGTCCCTTCTCACCCCCCTCCCCGTCTTGCTCCGTCTGGTGTGTCCCACGTCACGCCCCTCCCGTCGCTTGTCCCGATCGAGGAGTGGGCTGACTCTTGTGGACCCGCGGCACCGATCTCCCCGCCGGCCTCCCCCCCCGGTGTCTCCTCCTTCGCCATCGCAGAGTTGCCGTAGGCACCGCTGCAGCAGCAGCCGCAGCCGCAGCAGTCGGCGACGCCGCAGTAGCAGCAGCCGATCGTGGACACTAGGGTTGATGGCGTTGAAGAGGGTGCTAGTCCTTGAGTTCCTGTCGTGGCTTGTCCCGGCGGGCCTGGGGGTGGCACCGGTGCTGGAGAGAGTTCTCGCTCTGGGGGTGCCCGTTCTGGGGTTGCTAGAGTGGAGTGTTCTGGAGGTAGTCGTGGCGCAGCTGGCGGTTCAGGTGTCGACTTCGAGCAGCAGCAGCAGCCGCCGGTGTCCGCCCTTCGCCTTCTCGGCCTTCCCTCCCTTGACCGCTCGCCTGCGCCTTCCCCGCCGCCTCCTCCTCTTCCTGTCTACAGCCCTGTGTTTCCGCCACCGGACTCGTCTTCGGCGCGTCTTCCCCCTTGTTCCCCTCATGTATGTCCTCCTCTGTCCCCTGACCCGACGCCTCCCTCTCACATCTGGTCTTGCCGTCCCTCTCGTGCTCGTCCAGCCTCTCCTATTCAGCGTTCTCGGCCTATATTGCTTCATTCCCACGCGTCTCGTCCTCCCCTCCTGCCTTCGGATCCTCCGTCGTCGCTCACTGTCGCGCCTCCCCCTCTGTCTGACTACCTTCGTGCCGCTCGTGCTCTTGTTGCTCGGGTCCTTGCCTCTCTCGTTACCAACCTGTCAGTTCCTTTCTCCAGTCTTGACGCTCTTGTCGCTGCTGTCACTGACTTCGCCTCTATCCGCCGCCTTGACTACGCCACCCCTCTGGTCTCTGACCCTGTCTTTCCTCCGTCCGTCGTGGGTGCGTCTGCCCTCAGTATGACGTCCTAGAGAACAGACACTACGAGCTTGCTTTCCTGTCTGAGGCTGCTCCCCATCTCTGTTCCATGCCGTTAGTCCCTGAGGGTGACCCAGACGCCTTTGACATCCCGACCCCTCGCACTTAAGCTGAGGCGACCTCGGGACCCTGGGCCTCACAGTGGATAGCTGCCATGGAGCAGGAGATGGCATATTGGAGATCCACCGGCACCTACGTCGACGCAGTTCCACTACCTGGGGTGAACGTAGTCGATGGCCGGTGGCTCTTCAAGGTGAAGCGCCCCCCTTGAGAGCCGCCTGTGTTCAAGGCGCACTACGTGGCTAGAAGCTTCAGTCAGCGTGAGGGGGTGGACTTTTTCAGACCTTCGCCCCGACCCCGAAGATGACTACTCTTTGGGCGCTGCTACACGTAGCAGCACATCGTGATTACGAATTACACTCCCTCGACTTCTCCGCAGCGTTTCTCCAGGGCAGTCTACAGGAGCAGGTCTACCTACGCCGACCGCATGGCTTCACCGGTACCTTCCCTCCTGGGACCCTGTGGCTCCTCGTGTGCCCGATCTACAACCTACGAGAGGCACCCCGTGAGTGGCATGACACGCTGCGTGCCACGCTAGCTGACCTGCAGTTCTTTCCGTCCTCTGCAGACCCCTCGCCCTTCGTTCGTGCTGGCCAGACTCCGTTCTACATCCTTCTGTATGTAGACGACCTGGTCTTTACTGGGCCGGTGGTCCTTACTGGGCACACAGACGCTTCTTGGGTAGACGACATTGAGACGCTCTGGTCCTCCTAGGGCTACTGCTTTAGCTTTGGTTAAGGTGCCATTTCGTGGAGGTCCATTCGCTCCTCGTCTGTTGCCCAGTCTAGCTGTGAGGCTGAGATCTACGCCGGTGCCATGGCGGCACAGGAGCTCCGATGGCTGACCTTCTTGCTCACTGACTTAGGTGAGCGGCCTAGCCCCGCCCCCGTTCTGTACGCTGTCAACAGGGCCATGATCCTCCTGTGTCAGGAGCCTCGACTTGAGTGCAGAGCGAAGCACATCCAGCTACGGGACTTTCTCCTGCGCGAGCTAGAACAGCGTCGCCAGGCCCGCGTAGTACACTTAGCCTCCGGTGCCAATACAGCTGATATCTTTACTAAGGCGCTTGCGCCTAGAGATCATCAGCGGCACAGTTTGCAGCTTGGTCTAGTTCATGTAGACTCTCACTTGTTAGGACCTTGATTATGTACTTCTCTGATATATATATATATTTCAAACTGGGCTTGTGGCCTCTCTTCCAGTGGCCGGACTAATAGTGCCGCCCTAGTTTGCTCCTGTCTTGTTTGTACCCTTGCTGATTGGTTTTCGGACCCCTGCCTAAGAGGGTGGACTAGTAGTGCCATCTTGAGTTGTGTGCTTTTTGCTCAGCACTACCCCTTATCTACCCTATGGGGTGTGTCAACTTTGACATACATTTGCATATAGAAGTTATATATTAGAATAGGTATGCGTTCTTAGAGAGTATTACCCAAACCCTACATCTTCCTTGTTCTCTCTTCTTACTCATCTATTCTAGTATTCTAACAAAGTTGACTGAAGGAATTTATATCCTTGTTAATATGGCGTATGACGCATTTTTTAAGTGCAACCATACGTTCCCAATGAATAATCCTTGATGTACTAAGGTGTTACCAAAGGGCATTAGTACGTGTATATTGTGCATTGGTTGGTTATTTATGCATGATCTGCTCCAAACGAAATACCAAGCTTGTGACACTTGATTGATGACAGCTCCGCTGATTTGCCCCATGGAGCGTTATCCTTCAGCCACACTGCCACAGGCATCTTTCTCCCACGCAGTTGGGTCGATGCGCCGACATACGTGGACTTTCTTTTGGCTGACTATGACGTGGCAAAGTCCCGAGCATGAGTGTGCATGACACCCCTCTGAGCTTTGCCCGTGTGTTGTGGTCCCTGCAGCAGCCCCAGCTGGGACAGCTTCCAGCTCACCAAGAACATGAATCTCATCCAGGAAAGGGATTCCGTAATCTCGAGGGCGGGGTGAAGCAAACAAGTAAGCAAGCGGGGGGGAATTCAGGGGCACAAGCAGCAGCTCTGACGCCCTTTGCCTTATAATCGCACACCGAGACGTCTTTATTGGCTGCTGGTACTCCACCAGAGAGGGTAGTTGTTATCTCGAGTAATCGTACAGTCGAGCCTGGTTGCATTCCAATTTGTCTTGGCTCTTTCTCTGCTGTCGGGTGATTCTTTCGCGCGTCAGCCATGGATCCTTACAAGGTAATTGTGGTAACGTTGCATCTGGTGACATGCTGCGAAGAGCGCGACCTAGGTTTGGAATTTTATCACTATGTGGAACTGCCGTCGTGGTGATCGATGCCGTCTGTTTCTAATTTTTTCTTAATCCGTACGGCCGTTTGGCTCCTTCCATCCATTTACTCAAAAGAATTATCTCTCTTCTGTTCGCCCTCTCGTCGCAGTTCCGCCCCTCGAGCGCCTTCAATTCTCCGTATTGGACCACCAACTACGGAGCCCCGGTCTACAACAACAACCAGTCCCTTAAAGTCGGACCGCGCGGTGAGTTCCGACACCAATTTCCTAGTTTCACGTTTGTACAGAATCATGGTGATGACTTATCTTCCGCATTACCTCGTGCTGATGAGTTAAATCGTCTTCCTGCAGGCCCGGTGCTTCTTGAGGACTATCACCTCATTGAGAAGCTTGCGCAGTTTGACAGGGAAAGGATTCCGGAGGTAATTTTCCCCTAATTTAATTGTACATGGTTTGAAAATATGCCAATTTATTTAGTTTTGTGACACCGGACTTCTCGTTTGGATTCTATTCGTTTCAGCGCGTCGTCCACGCACGGGGTGCGAGCGCCAAGGGCTTCTTCGAGGTTACTCACGATGTCTCTCACCTGACATCCGCCGACTTCCTCCGCGCGCCAGGCGTGCAGACTCCCCTCATCGTCCGCTTCTCCACCGTCATTCACGAGCGCGGCTCCCCGGAGACTCTCCGCGACCCCCGTGGCTTCGCGATTAAGTTTTATACTCGCGAGGGCAACTTCGACATGGTTGGGAACAACATCCCAGTCTTCTTCATCCGTGATGGCATCAAGGTGAGTGCTGATAGGACGGACGGGATGGGACGGGACGGGACGAGACGGGCTTGTCTTTCATGCCTTGTGGACACCGTTTCGCCGAACTTCGTGTTGACTGTTATGAATTTTTCCTTGGCAGTTTCCGGATGTCATCCACGCGCTGAAGCCGAACCCGAAAACGCACCTCCAGGAGGGGTGGCGCATCGCGGACCTGTTCTCGCACATCCCCGAGAGCTGCCACATGTTCACGTGGCTGTTCGACGACTGGGGTATTCCTTCCGATTACCGCCACATGGAGGGCTTCGGAGTCCACACTTTCAAGGTTCGATCTCACACGAACTCGGTCTCCTGCGTCCCCCCTACCCTCACTCTCCGTTTCCCCCTACCTTCCCCCCCCCCCCCCCCTCCCTCTTTCCTTCGGGACTGCAATTGCTGGAGGGTGGTGTCCATTTTGTTCTGCTGACGTCTGCTTTTACACGTCACAGCAATGATTTCTAGGAAAAAGGGACTTCGCGAATTCGACATCACAGCGCTTTCCGTTTCTGTTGTGCAGCTGATCAACAAGGCGGGCAAGGAGACGTTCGTCAAGTTCCACTGGAAGCCGACCTGCGGCGTCAAGTTCCTGGTGGAGGAGGAGGCGGTGATCGTGGGCGGCAGCAACCACAGCCACGCCACGCAGGACCTGCAGGACGCCATCTCGGCCGGCGAGTACCCCGAGTGGAAGCTCTTCATCCAGACCATGGACCCGGCTGATGAGGACAAGTTCGACTTTGATCCGCTTGATGACACCAAGATTTGGCCTGAGGACCTGTTCCCGCTCCAGGTACTACGACACTGTTTGTTGCGTGTGCTGTGGTTTGACTGCTCGTACCTCTCCACGTTTGCCCTCTCACTCTGACACTGTCACTTGTGCTTCACTTGACGTGTGAAACCGTCGTGTTCACGTGCTCTGCTTCGCTCTTCCATCCATCCCCCGTTTTTTCCGCTGCCTATTCTCCCGCGTCTCCGCAGCCCGTGGGTCGCATGGTGCTGAACCGCAACATCGACAACTTCTTCGCTGAGAACGAGCAGCTGGCGTTCTGCCCGGGTCTCATTGTCCCGGGCATTTACTACACGGACGACACCATGTTCCAGACGCGCATCTTCTCCTACTCCGACACACAGCGCCACCGCCTGGGCCCCAACTACCTCATGCTGCCCGTCAACGCGCCCAAGTGCGCGTTCCACAACAACCACCACGAGGGCTACATGAACTTCATGCACCGCGATGAGGAGGTGAGGCTGGGGGCCACTGCTGTCGGGTGACTGACTGGTCAGGGAGGGCGGGCTTTCCCGTGATGGATGGGGAGCATAGGTTGACTAGGGGGGTGGGGGGGAGTGGGGGAGGGGGTTTCCGGTACATGTGTGTGGGGTGGAGGATGTGGGAAAGGCTGGTAAAGGTCACAGGTCAGGCGCTTGGAGATGGGGGAGTTGTTGACCATGTTTTTAGGAACTGTTAAAACTCAATGGTATGTTTTGTTTGTCTGCCTGCAGGTTAACTACTTCCCTTCGGTCTTTGACCCCTCGCGCCATGCTGCCCCGACGCCAGTCCCCAAGGGCGTGCTGACTGGTCCCAGGGAGAAGGTGAGTCTGGTGGTCTGGAAGGGGGGGAGTGTACGGGAGCATGAGCTTGTTCTGGAAGCAGTTGCCCGTCTCTCTTTGTGGCTTGCCATCTTCTTGTCTGTGGGGGCGAGCTTGCCGCTGTTGTTTCAGTTCATTGATTGTTTGGATCTGTCGTGTCTGTGTTTCTGCTACATGGTGCAGAGGGTGATTGTGAAGGAGAACAACTTCAAGCAGGCTGGGGAGAGGTTCCGTTCTCTGCCAGCCGACAGGTAATGGGCCGTCAACTCTCTATGTTACCTTGGTGTTCGGTAATGTGCCTTGGTTCTGTCTGTATGTCTGCCTGTCTGTCGTTCACTCAGTTTTCGCAGTTCACACAAGTGCAATTATTGGAAGCGTTTGTCACAGTTGAAGGGAGTGAAGGAGTTACCGCCTGTCACGTGTCGCCGTCCCACATGTGTTGATTGTGTCCCCCCCACGTGGCGCTGATTGTTGCAGGCAAGAGCGTTTTATCAACCGCTTTGTTGCCCTGTTGACTGACCCGAGGACAACCCCTGAGGTTCGCAGTATCTGGCTCTCCTACTGGGCGCAGGTGAGGACATGAGCAGCTTTTTTGCTGCTTGCTACCCCACCGCTTTCGTAACTCAGCACACACCAGCAGTGGCACCTGCATTGTTTTCATTGCAGGCATTTGACAGTTGTCTGTTCTCGCTTGGTACGCATTTTTCTCGCCTTCAGTCTTATCTTGATTCTTCTGCAATCAAGCTATTTTTCCTCTATTCTCGCTCGTTCTTGCCTGTGTGCAGTGTGACCAAGGCCTTGCACAGCGCATGTCACAGAAGCTGTCTTCCAAGGCTGCCATGTAAAGAGGTTTCAGGGGGGAGTAGGGGGAGATATGTGGGTGATGGTAGGCTTGGTGGTGGGAGATCTGTGGGTGATGTCAGGCAGTACATAATCGATACTGGTACTTCGTAGTGAATCGCTGTGCTCTCTGTATATGTACACTTCTTCATCTACTGAGGGGTTGCATTGCAGTTAAAACCACAGGCTAAAATAGCATTGGTAGGGCTTCAAGAGCGCAGATCTTGAAAATAGTTCTTTTGAAAAAAACGGTTTCTTAGTGCGATTTTGGGGGGTGCGTTTTTGGGCAGCTGAACAATGATAGAAACGCAGTGGCGCCGATTTGACGCGTGTGCGACGAGGCGGGAAATGCGCGCGCGATTCAAATGACTTCTCGCCAACTTGGTGAAACGAAAAAAAGCTACTGTATCTCTGGAGTATTCGGTGCACGTGTCCAGGCTCACACTACGAAGTCTTCCTGACCGCGACTCGTGACTAAGGTGAAGGTTAACTGTGCAACTTGTGTGCCGAACAGCCACATGGGTTCCGCGAAATGCGACCCAAGTTAACCTCGGGTTCAAAACCTATTGCACACCCATGAAGCTCTTGAAAAAACTGAGCTGTGTGAGCGGTCAGTTGCAACTTGATGAGGCAAGCATCTGATGCCAAATCAAAGTCGTGCAACCAATAACGTAATAACGCTACGTCGCATTACATACAATTTCGCCTCCCCATACGATTTCGTGATAGAAAACGTACCAAACGATCTGCCCATAAACAAAACATATTTCAAGAGCTCCGCAGGTGTGCTATGTTGAAATCTGAACTAGGAAGAAAAGAGGAGGCCGCCATGAAATGGCGGCCAAGGGTTTAGCTAGATGAGTAGGCGAGAGTGTCGAGAGAAAAGAGAAATAGATTAGGAAGAGAGAGAGTACAAGGAGGGGTTAGTACCCTCTACAGTAAGGTTCGGTAACCTACCAAGCCTAACAATTATATAAAATATAATTTGAACACACCCCCTAGGCTTGGTAGTGGCCAGCCCACACAACCCACACACACACCCCCTAACCCCAGACACCCTCATTCTCGTGAGCAGCCGGGTATCGACCCCTCGTGCTAGGCTATGACACCCCCGGTCGAGAGGCAGCTGGCCGCATCTGGGCGGCCTCAATGACGACAGCTGCGGAGCTCGTGCTCAAGGCGGCTGAGTCGATGAGGACAGGCGGCGACTGCGGCGGCTGAGGGCTCTCGGCGGTGTGGCACGGGCTGGCGACGACTGAGCCGAAGACAGCAGCTACGGCAGGAGCAGGAGGAGATGCAGGGCAGGGAGAGGTGGTGGGGCTGCTGTGGTGGGGCTGCAGTGTCAAACATGTGTATTTGTCATGTTTGTATAGACTGTATAGGGTCGTCTCTTAGAGAGTACAACACTTAGGTATATCTGTGTGTACTCTCTATCT